GCCGGTAGCGCTCGGGCAGCTCGGCTCTTAAACAGAGCCGAAGAGTCAGGGGAGGAGCAGAGCAGCCACGGGAGGGGAAGTGCCCGGCCAGTATTTTCCTGGACATGTTCGGCTTTTTGACAATTCCCCCCCGACGGGGGTTTGATTACCAAAAAGCCGGACATGTCCGGGAAAAACCGGACGTATGGTAACCCTACCAAACACCAACTCAATTGGTTGTTTGAAGCATTATTGGACATATGAAAGCCTCTGATACAGTAGCATCTATTACTAAATACTGGTTATGGCTATATCTACACGGAGCACTTTATTGGCATAGGATTAACCTTACTGGCAAAGCACTCCCAGTGTGGATGCACTAAACCAGAAAAGCCTTTGTACCAGAATAGTTAAACTAACCCCCACAAGCAAAACAAGCTATACCATTAAAAGAGTTTTGTCAGTATAATTGTGCCTACACTAGCAGCTTCTGCTGGCACAGCTCTGTCGGTCACAAATCACAGATATTCGCACCCATACCAGCAGAAGCCTGTAGCAAAAACATCGCCTACTTGGCAGCAAGAAGAAAAACAAAACTCATTAGAGAAGATTCAGGCTAGCTGCATCAGAGCCTGATCTTGCATTCTTTATTTGGACAAAGCTTTCATTGAGGTCAATGGACCTTTTAGCCAAGTAAGGCCTGGGCATGAATCAGTAATTACCAGGTACAGATTCCCAACTCATTAAGTAGGAAAATGACACCCATCACCCCCACTCCTCCCCCTCCAAAATTCAACTCAACAGCTTTGTTTTACTCATACTTAAAAAAAGTTAGACGGAAAAAAACAAAACAAAAAAGATTTCACTAAATTATTTTTTGTGGCTTGTCAACCACATGTTTAAAGTAACCTATCTACTGTGTTTCATAAAAGACATCCACTTGGCAACTAAAGTTGCTTTTGGACCTTCTATACTAGTCACCCCCAGAAAAACAAACTATCTCCATTTTGCAATAATGTCCATACCAGAGACAAAGCTACTATATCGGTTAGTGTAATTTTACTGAAAAACTGCACTTGCTAAATATAACCTCAGCTTACACAGTTACTGGACATTGTTCACAGCACTAACAGATGTTTGACACATTTTCTTTATCTGATTTATCCTTCTCTCTAACAGAAATAAGTTTAATCCCCTTTTTTCCCCTCAGTTTAAAATTATTTCCTTATAATAATATCTGACAGGCTGAAGGCTACTACTTAAAGGGAAACAACCTTCTGCTTCTGTCTGTATAGTCATTGACTGTACATTTAAGATTAACAAATGTAGGAGAAGAGAAAAAAAATGAGCGTTAATTTGTATGTAATATAATGTATTCTTCCTGGAATTTGTTTTTCCTTACGTGGCTCCAGTTTTGTAGATAGGGCAAGTATATCCTGCCATGTGCATCTACATGTTTTCCCACAGAGATTTCCATGTTTATAGTTGGTTTCAGCAAGCAAATGGGAGGAGCAAAAGGATGAGAATCCAAAATCCACAAACAAATTGGTATGTTATAGGAATTACCTGTTAGACATAAAACAAAAAAACATTATGACCTCCGCATTTCGAAGGTATGCTGAAATCATGATTGTGTGTTCCGTTTTACTTAAAATATAGCACTTTATTTGCTTTGATTATTTATGCTATTGATTTATACTATTCCTACCAAACCTGCTATATTAAGTATCATTGATTGAAATCCTGTCAAATATAAAGCATTTCTGTTACAGAGCTCTGCCAGCAAATAAGTCTGTCAGATCAAAGGAACTTCTTAGAGCAATCTATTTACTTTTCTAGGGTTTATATAATCTTGGAAACAAAGAGCTAATGAGGAGACTCTATTAAGTGCTTTATGTTTAGACTTCAAAGACAGCAAGTTCAAGGAAGAGTCCTAATTATCTGGGGACATTTGCATATCCAAGTACAGGGCATGAAGACTCTACCCAACACCCACCAGCCTGAGGACACAGTCTTGCACCTAGTTAACTAAATCACTTTTCTAATATGTAGTTAGTTATTTCAGGGCAAGTCTATGTGAGGGCACTCTTATTTTGGAATAGAAGTGGCTAATGTTGATTTAGGTAAATTGAGGGCTTGTCTACATGGTCAGTGTGTGGCAAGCTAGGGTATGAAACTGGGAGTATGTCAACTTTTAGGGCATCGACACTGCCCTGCAGTTTGGACTACAAAGGTTGTAACTCCTCTGTGTAGACGCTCCAGGCACAAACTAAAAGGTTTCTGGTTCACATTAATGTAATCCTGTTTGAAGGTGGCCACGTTGCCATCCCCACTACTAAAGCCAATCTGAGCAATTTAACCCCAGAAATTTAAATGAATAAAACATTGGTGTACAGAATTTAACTGTCAATCAACTTTACTTAAAATATTTTTATAAGTGAGTTCACACTCCAATCCTTTGGCTGATGGTAAGGAGAAGAGTACTCTTACTTTCCATTTTCTCCCCTCTCACCTCATGGCCTCCTGCCTACTGCAAGAGTGAGGAGAGATCTCTGTTACTTTATCCTTTCCTCAGCCTTTGTTCAAGTTGTTCCCTCCACCCCAGACAATGGCTCTAGAGCCAGCCGCTGCTGTTCCTCATAGCGTCTTCCTTCCCCCAAGACTCTGGACCAGGGATAGTCTATTTTTTGTCAAAGTCCAAATTTCTTGGTCAAAGTATAGCCCAGACTCCAGAGAAAATTAAAAAAATAATAATAATGATGATAATAAGTAAATAAAAAGATTTCAGGGTCTGTTCAAAAGAGTCTGGCAGTCCAGATTTGGCCCAGAATCTCCCTATTGACTACCCTTGCTTTGGTGATTAGCAACTGCTGCAGCTTGACCAGCTATGAACAGCAGCAGAGGCACTGGAGCTGTCTATCTGCAGATTTAGGAAGACAGCACTGGATCATTTTACACTATGTTCACATATGGAAATTACCCTAAAAAAAAACAAACAAAAAAGTTATAGCTTTGACCCCAGACACTGATGACGAAAGCAAGTGGATTTTTCAAGCCCAGTCCAAGTTATCCAGAGAGAGATCTTAATCCAACTCTTGTGTGGCACATGGAGACTCTCCAGGTCACCCATCTTTGCAAAGGAGATAATGATATTTCTGCCTTCCTGGCTGTACTAAATTAGAAGCCTTTTCCGTGACTAATCAGGAAGATATACTGTTAAATGTACACAAAGTCTTACCATTGTATTTAGCATTGGTATAGAAAATACAATCTGTGAGTTGTTACCTTACCCCGATATTTCACTGGAATAGTGCCACTAAAATTCAAGAGGTCTTTAAGGGATCCGTCTTTGAAAGCTGAAATTAAGAACAAGTTTGTTTTTTTTTGTTGTTGTTTTTTTTTAAGTGGTTAGAGGATTTTTTTTTTAAAAATTACAAAACTCTAAGTATTACCCATACTGCTTCATTCCACATTTAAATAACTACTGATTCCAACTCTAAGATGTATGCTGAAAATGGACATGTACCAGTGAAATGTGACTGCAAAGATTATTTCCTTGTACTTAGATCAGGGGTGGGAAACTTTTTGGACCGAGGGCCACATCTGGGTATGGAAATTGTATGGTGGGCCATGAATGCTCACAAAATTGGAGGTTGAGGTGTGGGAGGGGATGAGGGCTCTGAGGTGGGGCCAGAAATGAGGAGTTCAGGGTGTGGCAGGGGTTTGGAGTGTGGGGGCGGTGAAGGCTCCAGCTGGGGGTGTGGGCTCTGGGATGGGGCTGGGGGTGCAAGAGAGTGGTCTGGGTTGGGACCGAGGGGCTCAGAGGGCAGAAGGGGGATCAGGGCTAGGACAGCGGGTTGGGGTGCAGGAGGGAGTCAGGGATGCAGGCTCCGGGTGACGCTTACCTCAAGCAGCTCCTGGAAGCAGCAGCATGTCCCCCCTCTGGCTCCCATGTGGAGGCGCAGCCAGGCAGCTCTGCATGCTGCACCGTCTGCAGGCGCCACCCCTGCAGCTCCCATTGGCTGCAGTTCCTGGCCAATGGGAGCTGCAGGGGCAGCGCTTGGGGTGGGGGCAGCATACAGAGCCCCCTGGCTGCCCCTACACGTAGGAGCCGGAGGGGGGACATGCAGCTGCTTCTGGGAGCCACACAGAGCCACAGCACGCATGGAGCAGGGCAAGCCCCAGATCCCGCCCCCCGGCAGGAGCTTGAGGGCTGGATTAAAACATCTGAAGGGCTGGATGTGGCCCCCGGGCCATAGTTTGGCCATCCCTGACTTAGATACTACACATAGTAATTAAATTCACACAGCTGACCATCCCTCCTCCTTTTTTTTAAACAGAATGTTACTTTATTTGTTTATTCCTTTGGTGTCACTCTTTATTGGAAGCTTAATGACAGTTGCACAATTAAGGAAACTTTATGTGCATCTTGTTGACCTTCTCCATTGTGGTCTCAAGTTACAGTGCTTTATCAGCTTGCATATCCCTCGCAAAAGGAGCCTCTGCTCTTCTTCCTTCTCTGTAAGGCTGGTGTCAATAGGACTTTTCTTCTAGCTGCGGGGGATTCAGGAAGGCAACTCCCATCTTTTCATGTACTGTGTATATATACCTGCTACTGTATTTTCCACTCCATGCATCTGATGAAGTGGGTTTTAGCCCACGAAAGCTTATGCCAAAATAAATTTGTTAGTCTCTAAGGTGCCACAAGGACTCCTCTTTGTTTTTATTTTTAACAATGTAAATCCATCAAACTACCCGTATATACTCGTTCATAAGCCGAATATTTTTGGTAAAAAAGTGATGCATCAAAGAGTGGGGGTCGGCTTATCAATGGGTCTACACCAAAATTTGATAATTTTAAACTCTATGGAATCATTGAATTGAATATCTAATACATTGTCATTTTGTTTACCTGGAGCGTCTGCAGGCATGGAGCCCGTCAGCGCCTTATGGCCGCGATTCACCGTTCCCAGCCAATGGGAGTTGTGGTGAACCGCGGCCACAGGAAGCTGAGGGGCTCCATGCCTGCAGATTGTTATGCAAACAAAACTACACAGGATCGTTTCAGGGGGCAAGACAAAGATGCCACATTTATTATGATTACACAATTTGATTTATGACCAATACCTAATATCTAATACCTATACACACACACACCCACATCCATCAGATGTTCTGCAGCTGCTGTATAGTTAATTGTAATGGTTTTAGTTATATTCACCTGGTTATAATTGTTTGGTTTGTTTGCAACAGATCACCTGTGCCCTACAATGACAACAACTACTGTAATGATCATAGATCAAGGGGCAGAGTGTTGTAGAAGCAGCCCACCTGGTCAGCAGTTCTAAATATAATTTTTCATCCCACATTGTTCTATTAGTAATCCTGACTGTTATGTTAATTCTAATGCTCTGCATATGCTGCTGGATAAAATAGATGCATTCTAAATTAAAACCACAGGCTCACATTGTTTCACAATATATAGCCTTAAAACAATTACATAAAGTGTGACCCATTCAATACCCCTGGATTGAAGGGTCAAAAGGGAGACAATGTAGAACTAATAAATGCAATTGTTCATAAGTAAAGTTTTATGAATGAAACAACATTCATTCATATAACCAGTTACCCCAATAACTGGCTAATTGACAATTAAGATGATTGTTAAGAGCCATAGCTGTTCAGCCAGTTGCCCTTGTAAGTTTCACTGTCAATCCAATTCCTGCTTAAATCACTGAGACTTGCATTGTTTCAGTATTGTAACTTCTGTTCATTGTTTGCCATTCACTACACTTGTCTACTTCTGTTCACTATTTGCCACATTGTAATTCAAACTCCATTTTACAATGCTTACTCCATTTTGTAAAAGCTTGCTGCAACCTTCATTTTTGCAAAACCCTGCTGTAATCTTATAGTTTAGTTTAAATGTGTGAATGAGGTATGTATGGATGATGGAATCAACCTCCAGCGCCAGCCTGTCCTGATGAAATAGAGTTCAAACACCGACGGCTGAAGATGCAGACAACAGCCATAACAAAGTAAGAAGAATCCACCCTAAAAAGAAAAGAACAAAGGTACAATAGAAGGAAGATCAAAGCCAGGTCCGAGGCTGAAAGTCACATCTGCAATTGACAGGTGAACCCAGAGGCAGCTTGACACAGCAAGACCTATAGACTCTGGATTCAAACTAAAACCTACAAAAAGGATGGGTGAGATGGAAGACTTTGAAGGGTAACATTCTGCTGCCAACATGGGAGGGCAGACCCAGCCCTTCCTTGTGCCCGGCTTTCCTGGCCAGTTAGCCGCCACAAGCTACGAACCCAAGCTGCAAAATCAAGCCACAGACTCAAGCTATGTTCAGGACTGGTAACTATACAGCAGCTGCAGAACATCTGATGGATGTGTGTGTGGATGTAGGTATTAGGTATTGGTCATAAATCAAATTGTGTTATCATAATAAATGTGGCATCTTTGTCTTGCCCCCTGAAACAATCCGGTGTAGTTTTGTCTGCCTAACAAGATGTTCCAGGTAAGCAAAACATCCTGACCCGCCAGCGGCTTACCCTGACAAGCCAGGAGCCAAAGTTTTCCAACCCCTGAAATATAGGGTCGGCTTATGAAAGGGTCATACAGTTTTTGCTATTTTTACCTATCCATTTTGGGGGGTCAGCTTATAAACGAACGGGCTAATGAACGAGTATATACGATATGTTTAAATTTGCTTAAGGGAACTGGAACAGTAACATGGAATCCATTAAATTATCAATTTGTATAATCACTGATGTTACAATTTATTCATTTTTTAAAAAAGATACTGATTAGTTTGGTGAAGGTAACTTACAACAAGTACTGTAGGAAATGAACTACTGGAAAAAAAAATCACACGATATCACATGATATAAAGTTAGGAAAACAAATTGAAAATGACAGTAATTTAGACAAATTTCATTGTAGATAGAGAACCTATGAAATGTCAGAGTTCCACATAATCATCAACTGTTGAAAAACACAATCAAAGTAACTAGATCAGATTCTTACTGTATGTATCCATGGAGAATCTGAAGTTTGGGTAGATCTTAACAACATTCTTCAATTCTTCTATGGTCAGGTCCCGGAATTTATACTGTACACAAATAGAAGAATGTTTCAACTCGAAAGGACCACCTCTTTGGTTCCACAGGATAGGTGGGGAAAAATAAGAGAAGAGAAGACAGAAGGAGGCAGCTAATAATTACCTATAACAAACAGTTTTGCCATTAAATTAATTCTCAAACAGATTGCTCCATAGAATGCATAATCTTATCTGCATACCAACATCTGCAATTATATATTTGTAAAATATATTTGAAAAAGTTTAAGCCAAATAATTACATTGTTTGGTAACAGCAAACTCTATAATGGCTTTCACATTTTAAAGAATTTTCATAACCATTTTTTCACAAACATATTAAAGTGTCCAAAAAATTCACCTTTTGGATTGAAATGTTATGTGCTTAGTCTCTGTCCATAAGTGAATTATTTTGGAGAGGTCAAGCAAAATCCATAAAGTGGTTTAGTTGGGGGGAGGGTAGAGGAAAAACCCAAACATTTATTTAAAAAAATAAATTTTAAGGTAGACTTACAGCAGGAACTGCTGAAGTTTGAAATGTGGTATGAATATAGTTATTGGTGAGGGCTAATACCTTTGCAAAACCAGACTTCAGGTATTTCCTTTGGACCATTCCCTCTCCATAAGCTGCCCTCCAGATTCTTTATCCTCCCCAACAATTTTGCAAATCTGGGACTGTTCACTTCCAGGATTTAGATATTGTGCTCCAGATCATGGAAAATTTGAACTGACACCCCAATGCTGGCACCTAAACATCATACAACTGCAGCCCAACTTTGGTTCAATGAACTAGCAGCTACATTGGAAAAATAAAGAGAAAATAGTACACTTGGGCATCTGAGCGGGGCGGGGGGGTGCATGTGGGTGGGGGGCTGGATGGAGGGGTGAGCAGGGATGCAGATGCACTAGTGCAGCGGCTCTCAAACTGGGGGTTGGGCTCCCACAGAGGGTCACAAGATTAATACATGGAGGGGTCGCGAGCTGTCAACCTCCACCCCAAACCCCGCTTTACCTCCAGTGTTTATAATGGTGTTAAATATATAAAAAAGTGTTTTTAATTTCTAAGGGGGGGGGGTCGCACTTAGAGACTTGCTATGCGAAAGGGGTCACCAGTACAAAAGTTTGAGAACCACTGCACTAGGGGGACCGGGAGGTGATGCCCTGGCGGGGGTGGGGGTAACCCAGAGTTCCCCGCCCACTGATGCCCGCTGGCTCCCAGAGCTACACAGGCCTTTACCCCTTCGCCTCCCACAGGCGTGGCAGGGAGCCACGCTCCCCCCACCCAGCCTAACGAAGGGCCGGGCGGGGCCCAGCGGGGACAGCGCGTGGCTGCCGCGGGCCAGACCCTGCCGCCGGGGGAGCCGGGAGCCCGGTGTGCGCGCACCTTAACCAGCTGCGTCCTCAGTGTCTCCTCGGAGAACTCCATCGCAGCGGCACCTCCCCGTGCTTCCTGCTGCGCCCGGCCTGGACGGCAGCCGCCAGGAACCAAACCCTGCCCCACAGCTCTCGCTCCCGTTTTGCTACTTTGAGTGTACTGAGCATGCTCACTCGAACTGAGCATGCCCAGTAGCCACTGCCCTCTGTCTTCCCTTAGTTCTACTTACGATTTGCTGCCTCCTCTTTGGGGGGGTTTAAAAGGATTAAGGGGGGCATATCGCCGCGGGGGGCTGTCAGGGTCTGCGCAGGGGGCAGAATTTTACTGGCTTGGGGGGT